GGGCAGATTTACAAGGGCGTGAAAATAGCTCAGGTAATATTCAGTGCAGGACTGCGAATTGATTAGTTTATTGCTCTTTCCTTTTTTTCAGCCAAAAAGTTTACTCGCAGGCTAGTTTGCCAGTGAGGGAAGATATTGCGATCCCAAATGCTTGCAGTGCGGATAGAGGATAGGTATAATCCATTGTAAAGTACTTATCCGAAACCCGCCCGAACTGCATTAGGACCTTGGAGTCTAAAAACGGAATGCGAGAATGAACTGTTAATTAGATATCATACTTATTCTTCTTTTTGTTAACTTTTTATAATTAATATTAGGATATTTTGTCCTTATTTTAGTAAACTTGTTAAAAGGTACATAATCGTGAAAAACGAAAAGCAAAACCTCAAATAAACCACTCAAATGAAAGTGAATTTAATAGTTTATTGACTTTAGAAAACGCAGAACCTATAAGACCCAAAAGCGTCATTATTGTTGGCATTTATATTGCAGTGACGCTGAAATTAATCATTTATCGTTGTATTGTCAATTAAACTACTTCGGTCACTCCACTCATAAAGAATTGGTCGCAGCCAACCTTCTACGGATAAGAACTCACCATTAGTCCAAATTAGAACTACTTTTACAATTTTCAATTAAATGGAGTTGTTCAAGTATGAGAGCATAGCAAAGTAATCACGGACGTTAAAACATTAAAGAAATGGTGTGTCGATCATATCTCCACTTGTTGATGCATTGAACGTTGGGACACCTCAAAAGAAATGGAATTTTTAGATAGAAATATGAGAAATTCTTGCCGATAGCAATGGGATAAGCGCTACTGAATCTATCTAATTATTAACAATGCAGCATGCTTTACCACTTTGAGATAGCACAATGCCAATCATAAAATCTCGAAAGCAGTATTTAATTTGCCATGAAGCAGTATGACATTGACACAGCCTTTTCCAAATTGAGAGAATCAAGAGAACAAGTGCCTAAAGGACAAGCAGCGTGTAACTACAGAGGGTAATGAAAGGCATAGGAGCTTGTAGTGACTGCACACCATAACTCAGCTTCTCTTTCTCTCCCTCTATTTTGTAATTACAGAATCATAAGTCTGTGCAAATTTCTACCTTCTCATTAATGATAAAAGAACACCAAATCCATTAATGACCGTTTTGCGTCTTACTTCGCCCGTTTCTCACAACTCACACTGCTCACAACTAGTTCTGGCACCTGCCTTATTCCTACTTCTTTCCTCCCACGTAAATTTCAATTGTCCAATACACTTAACTCTTGGTTTTTACATTGTTGAAGGGCTGCGACATCCTGTTAGTCTTAAGAAGAAACCATCCTTGAAGAGGTTATTTGGCCTAATTTGTTCCGTCCTTCCAAAATAACTCCACTAACCAATTAGATCAGCATTGTGGAATTGACAATAGGAAAAGAAGGTAGGGGCGTAGGGATTGGCGAGGGCCGTTAGGGCTGTCAGTCCAAATGTAAATAGGGATGTATGGTTTCTTCTTCGTAACCTACCATTGACAACTAGGATGAGCAAACCTATGACTCATTGTTTGTGTTTAAAAATGCTTTAAAAGCCACTGCACTACACGAAATATGGCAGACCTGTTTAATTTTCTAGTAGTATGTTTGAGCTTGGTAGATATATTACGTCAAAAGTCCCACTATTTAAGGATAGTGCACATTTCTATGATTTCAGGAGTTCATTTTCAACTACATCTGTTATACAGAGTCCATAATTTTCCCCCAACACCAAGCGGGTTTGCACGCTCCTCTTTCCTATCAGAATAACTACAGCAAATTTGAGAATGCTTTCCCAAGCTCTACAAATTTTACGCAAGTTTATCTTTGCACATAATGAACTCTTCGTTATCTGCCCATATCATAAGTATGGCTAACGTTCCATATGACCACACATATCGTCGAGGAATCGCTATCGTTAGATTTTAAGTTGTATTCAATCAATATTTGTGAATTAAAAGAAAACAAAGAAGCTCTCTGGGCAAATTTAAATATAAATATTAATGTGGAAATTGTCTCTTTTTCCAGGAGTCTAAGCTACGTAGCCATTTACTTTGGGTGTGTCTGACCAACTTTTTTCGTCATCAAAGCGACTTGGTTAATGGCATTAACCGGAAGAAGATAGCGTAGAACAAAAATAGTGCCAAAACAATCCAGTCAACTTTAAGGCACATTTGAGTAAGTTAACTCCTCTTCTCTCTTTTTAAATGGAAATCATAATGAACTTTGATCCTCTACATGGATTACTAAACCTATTTTAACGATTTAATAAGAAATAATTTGATAAGGAAATAAATAAACCTCTTAAGTGTGAGATACGGGTATAAAAGAGCTATTTCTTAGGATTTCCAAACTGCGTGTTGCTGGAATAAAATGAGAATGAAAAGTAGGCCACCATGAATTTCCTCCTTTCTCAATGCAACATCCACATATGTGTGACTCTCTTCTAGTTCGTTCTAGACTAATCACAGTTGCATCAGAACCACCAACCTTCAAGACATTGGAATAGAGACATATCTAGATGAAATGACATCTTCCATCGTGTGAATTAGATCTAACAGAGGAACATTAACTTATTATATCCAGAATTCCACATGAAATGCCCAAAAGATGTTTTGATTTATGTGTAACCAATCAAATGCTTCGTAACTCAACAGTCATAAAATTACGATCAAAGCATATAAACATGGTTTTGCTTCTTGGTAACAATGGATTAATTTAAATATCTCAACTCACCTGTCATTTTGAAATACAATAATAAGGCGATTGTCCATTTCAATTTATTTATAACCCCTTCCACAGTGAACTGAATTTACTCAATAATATTAGCAATGTGCTGACGCACAGCTTAATACCATAGAGTCTAAAGAATTTGAAACAAGAAACTCCCATCCTGAAAGCGTTCACTTAGTTTATCAATAGTATGTATGAGCCTTCATGATGTGAAAAAGTGGTATATGCTTATAATCTCGTTGAAGTATAGTGCACCTCGTTATAAATAAACCTTTGTTCAACCTAGGCGTTATATTGGTTATGTAGGTGAAATCTGCACCTGTCATTTGGACGTTCATCTTGATTAAACTTACCTGTTGAAGGGGATCAGTTTTATTCAAGCAAAGAGATTTATTCTTACTAGTGGTATTTATTAATAAAATATAGCGTAGTGATAGAAAACAACTTCGGCCTCTCCTCACACAAATTCATTTAGGGTCTAATTAATTGGTGGCTAATGCCAACGACTTAATACCAGCATTATACTTTTAAACGGAATGTCACAAATAGTCAATATATTGAAAACTGAACCAAGAAAGTACTAAAAAACGCTCACCGTCCTTTTCATCAATAAGCTGGAAGTTCTTCACTGAAGCCTGCGTCACTCGTCCATGGAAGTTCAGAACGTAGGATTGTGTTTCTATTTTAAACCAAAGTGAAAGTTAATCGATGCCGTTTTTAGTAATGATTTTCTATTGTTAATTTATACACTTGCTACAGTATTTAGTCACACGATGGCGTGCCATTTTTGACTTGATCAATATTTACCTTCATTCCACATTGGTCTCTTATTATGGAGTTCCGAGATTCCCAAAGAATGATCTCTTGAGGCTGGTACGCCAGTAAGATATTTTGACAACTAAATGTTGGTGATTTTCAAATATCATTGAATTAATATACCTCTTTGAAAGACGACGAACTCTCAAGATCAGTTTCAGACCGTAGAAGAACAGTCATTTTTCGCGGTCCTTTGAAACCAAGCAAATTTGGCTCCTAAAAGTCAAGTCTCTATCAGAATGTGATAAAGTAATTACATAATAACTTGACAAAAAAGTACTTTCATAATATTGGATTATTATCGGAAAGCCTATCTCGTAATATAGCTTGAAATTTACCTTAATTTGATGTAATCGTGGGGAGTAATTGCAAACAATTCAAATAGGGCATATATTCCTATGTAGGACGGTTGGGAGATGAATGATAAGTTGCCTCCATTTGGGAGAAACTTAATGAGTGTGCATATCAGTGAATTTTCACCACTGTCATCACCAAATGAGGATTTACTTCAAGTTTGATGCTATCGTGATTCGCTCTGTTTCCCCATTTAACATCTAAATTCGCTAACCCAAAGAGCTTAAAGTGAGTGCATAATTTTCTACTCACGCTTTGAAATTCAACTTGTTTCCTGAATGAAATTTTCATTTTGTCAATAAAATTGTGTTTTTAAAATGAAATATACTCGACACCCAATTACATTTAAATTTACATCCTTTTAACTGGACAGAGTAAAGATAGCTACACTGTTCCATCCAAGGATTATGTTAAATGCAATTAAAGTTTCATTAAATTAAATTAAATTTTACTTCTCTCGTTCAATTCGGACAAAATGGACTTACATAAGCAATTAGAGCGATTTCTCTATTCCATTCTTCACCGCTTGAATTGTCATTCGAATCAGACGCCTCTCTGCATAGAACAAACTGTGTACCAAGGAAATTAGATCGAAGACATCCCACAGACACCTTTCCGCCATTTCCAAAGTTATAGGCATCCACTTCCGTACTTGAGCAAATAGTATCTGAGGCGATTTTTTCCCCGGAGGGAGTATTGATGGTATCCATAGAGATAAGGTAGGTACAGGTTGTGGCACGCCGTTTTCGTCTTGCTGAGAGGAGAAAAAATTGTCGTCGATCTTCCCGACCTTCAAGAAAGAGGTAGTAGCTAGGAAAGAGACCACCTTCAATTCCGTGCTTGTCTCGGGTTATTCGGCAGCGTATTGTCATGCCCTACAAAACAATGGAAAGCTTCCATATAATCTAATTACTAGAATTTCAGCCATTAAATAAATTTTAAACTGTGAAAAGCGCCAAAAATAAGCTTGGCACATTCCAAAGTAAAATGAATTCAGCTAATTTAAGGTCGTTATATTCGAAGAACTTTACTGTAAAAAAATTGTAATTGCATCTGTAAACAAAGACGTGAATATGGTAAAATTGTTCAACTCCATTAGAAATGCAATCAGCTGGAAAGATAGAATGCAATAATACAAATACCAATCAGTTCGATAGCATTGCAATAGTAGAGGAGTTAATTCAGCAGAAAGATAACGGAAGCACCATTGTAGGCATCTTAGAGCATAACACTATCGTTTGACAAGTGTTCAATGGACTTAGAACAGATTAGTATCCACTAGATTTTCGAACAGTCAACCAAGCAAGACAATTACCTACGACGTCTAACATCTTTCATGGACTCAATGCAAGATGGCGTGATTTTGGCTTGAAATAAAATTCATCAAGTTCAAACCCAAATCCCTAAGTCTTTATAACATCGCACTTATAAATAAAAGTTCGAAGTATTCATTCCTGGTCTCTATGGCTCCAGCTACACACAGGCTACTAGAACCGTGGCCCCCACTAGTGACATTAGAACCAACTGCCAGCGATTAGTAAAAAAAAACATCCCAAGCTGTATTTTAAATTTCCCGTTCTATAGGAAGTGAAAGTCCAACGGTAGAAGCCTCACCTTCGGAGCAGAATTTCGGATGAATTTTTCCATCTGATCCACGGCTTTAAAAATCAGAGAGACTGCTGATCGAAGCCCCACATCAGTGCATGCTTCATTCTAAAATACACAATAGAACATCTTATCTGATGATTATGGAAGCTTTGGAGAGAACTGGAAATTTATGCAAGTTTCAATCAAGAAATAACTAATAACAGAAGACACACTATAAAAAGAGAATTTCTTTCCTTTTTCTTAACTAAATTTCTTCGTGAAGGTGGTGGCTTTTGAATATCACTTTTCTGTAGCACAGATTTCGGAATACAACTCTCAGATGAACTTTTGATAAGATTTTTCTGCTGAGGTGGTTCAAAATCACTTAGGCAACTTTCAGATGTATGAAGAGAACGCGTGGCTTTACGAAGAGAAGAAATTTGGGTTCTCGACTTAATTTGTCCTCCTTTCATTTCCATGGCTTTGTTTTCCAAGAGAACATCATTCCCTGACTGTGTTCTGTCCTCCCTCACACTGCGTCTACTTTTCCTCTAAAGGTGATTTTAAAAATTTAGCTTTTATTGACTCTATTAATAAAAGTTTTTTTTTAATTAAAACGAATTATATTTAAATTATATATAGCGCGGCTTTTATTGTAAAACATGAACAAAAGTCTACCAATATGTTAAATGTATTAGTTAAATCTACTCAGATTACTAAAATACCTTTAGTTATGCTATCATTTTGAAGGTTTCGAAGACAGCACTAAAAAGACCCAGGCATTTGAAGTGATTTTTCAATATGACATATAGATGAATTTAACCTCCAAGAGTTCAACCTTGGAAAGCATGGAGCATCCAGTGATCTTCACCCATTTTAGAATAGGACGCTTCGGGCACTACAAAAATTTGGACGACTGCAGACAGAACCAAGACGACTCCATTGAAAGTATGGCCTTAGCTTGCACTGAGATTAATTAAACCTCGAACCCTTTCATACTCGACAGCTTCTCAACTCCGTAAGGTTTTTCAAGATTTTCATTATTCAAAATATGGGCTGGTTAATGAATGTTCTCTCTACTTCAAGTTCAAAGTAAATCAAAGTGATGTAGTGGTTAAAGAAGTTTTGCAGGCTGGTGGGAAGAAAAAATTACAATTCTTTGTGTTCTAAAGACACTACAAATTTCTCGATGATTTCATATGAAGATTCAATTTTGTTATATTTAAGGTATTGTAATTTTGAGTTCTCTTCCTTTAAGTTTGCATGTATTACATATTGTACGCTATACATTCCAGTTTTGCAGGATAGAATTGTGGGGCAATTAACTCACAGGTAGGTTAAGTATAAAGTCAATTTAAATATGACCTTGAAACAGGGTTGTCCCCTTTGGAATGAAAGTAACAAATATGCATTCACTACGACCCTTTACAGTCATTACACAGTGTTAGGTGCAACAAAAATAGCTACTTACCCTATTGTCCTAACTATTGTATAATTGTGACACTATAGATCCCACTTTAAGCTATCATTAGAAGTGTGAGAATAGACTCAATTCCGGCATACAATATCGTCCAGAAATGATTAAAATGGCATGAGATAGGCGTATGTTGGGAACAATACTAAGTTCCCGTGACTCACTCGTCTTACTCATAGAGAAAAGAATAGAAAATAAACGTCATGAAATAAACTAGAATGAGTTCCTATAAACATTTCTCAATCGAGTAACGGTCATTCTGGAAATGTGGGCGTAACGCAATCGTCATTTTCAATGAGTGGCAGTTGGTTAACTGTAAAGTGAGTTGAAAAATATAGTTTGGTCAATCAGTTAACACAGTCCTACGAACTCACTCGAGTAAATTTTCTTTTCGATAATCTGTGAACCTTTTTAATTTTACCCCAATATATTTCCCCTCGTCTTAATAGTTAAGTTTTATAATCAATGCTAATTACATTTTTTAAATCCGCCTAAACCATGCTAATTTTTTGACCAAATCAATTTGAATTAGATTATAATTTGAGTTTAAAAAAATGCTAAATTGGTAGGAGGGTGGAGGGAGGGGGGGGGATGGAAGACTAACCGGAGTGGATTTACTCTCAGACTGTTCAATGTGTTTTTCTCTCTTTGACTTTCCGGTTGTGGATTTTTGTCTGGGTGTTTGTTTCGTGACACTAATACTTGAATTGGATTTAGCAGGACTTTTTCCCTTCCCTCGTAGCCTACCTTCACCGTGCCGAACACCAACATGCCTTTCTTCTCTTTTGCCTCTTCCTCTGGGACTAGACTCTGTCGCCTTCAATTTTTCTTGCTAAAAGAATGCAGTGCATGCATGCAAATATTTTCGAAATGATTTTTTTGTAAATAAAAGAGGCTTTATCACTTGCCAGGAGTTCTCAATCAATATTTGGAGGAAAGAGATGTGATCAAATTAACTATCGCTATAATCAAAATATGTGATTCGGAAAATTTAATCGATGATGAAAGAATTCCAATAACACGCCCGTATTCTTTATTTTCGAAAAGCAAAGCGGGAAGTTTATGGCAGAAGAGAGAAAAATGATACTGAGTTTTATTACAAGTAAATAGTTAATGCAAGTGTGTGCGTATCTTTACCCATAACCTCTTTCTGACTCAGATCACTCGTCATTTTTTATATCCTGGCTAACCTCTAAAAATAACCACAAAACCCAGAACACGTTAGAAAAGCAAGGTTGCGACCTGGTTATAAATTGCACTTTAACCAATGTACTAATACCATGGATAATTAATGATAAGTTGTTAATTTACTTTATTACAAATTTCTTTCATTACACGCAGATTGCAACATATACAGCCATACCCATCTCAATGGGAGTGACATTTGGCCTTGTTGCACATATTCACATTAATCATAGGAAGCTAGCTGCGTGCCTAAACTACTCCCATGGTCCCACTGCATCTTGGTCTACATACCACTAATTAACACATCCATGGTGTTTAAAAGTATGCTCGGTGAATGGAAACGAAGGCAATTTGACACTTTGGTGGACATCTTTCCCCATTCTTCCATTTCCACCTCCACTTCTTCCATGATGCCTTCGTAGGCACCCGAAAGTGACTTTATCCTGTCTTCAGACGCCAAAACCGACTGGTCTGCTCTCCCCACACCATTAGTTTTCCCACAAAATGAGAGGTGCCAGTATAATGAGGAGAATAGACTGCAAGAATCCTCAACACTAGGTGCTATCAACATCCTTCCTCTCACCGTGTGACGTGGCTCATATTGCATTCAATTGTGTTTTCCTTATAGCACAACTCTTGGTATGAAATTAAAAGTGAATACTGTTCGTTCATTCCACAGCCGCGATGGTATTAAGCAAAATGGATTCATTGATAGTTTTGGCTTTTTGAAATAATAATTTTATCGCATTGCAGTCATGAAGAAATCAAATTATTTTGTTAACTTTAAATCTCGCATGTTTTAAAATAGCGTAAATTTGCGAAAATATGTGTTTTCCTTTGACAGAAACTGATCATCATTATAAAGCCATCACATATTTTTTACCATCCACTCAGTTTTAGTGTAAACGATTCTAGGGCTTTTGAATTAATGAAATAAAAACAAATTAAGCACTAAGTAAAATGGCCAATGGAAATATTTGCAGTTAATACGATAATGGAATTATTACACTCTCAACTGCATTTATTTATATTCGCGTACAATATTGAGCGTATTAATGACAAAGTTTACCATAGGCATTCGTCAAAAGTTCGTCTGGTTCCTGTCGTATTTTTGTAGATTTTTAGGCGACTATAATGCATATATATATATATATATATATATAATCACGAAATTTAATTAAAATTTGATAATTTTGAATTTGATTAGGTCTTCACTTAAAAATAATCATTTATTTATCGCCCTAACCAGTGATGACTTCAGTGGATTCAATAGAATTGTAAATAAAATTTCTACTTATTTTTGAAATATTAGGGTATTTAACATTTTAAGTTATAACATACCATTTGATTTTATTTAGTTTCAACTTCCCAATAGTTCGTCAAAATATGGAGCACTCATTTTTATTAATTTATAAAATAAAGAGTGCTTCTGAATTCAGTTATGCAATATAAATAATGAGAGTGAGATTTATTACAAAGATAATTAGCAAACTGATTTCGAAAGTATATATAATGAATTGAAACTTCAATAAGCATGCAATGTTAATGCATTACTGCAATTAACTGTTATCATTTTAGCACAAAATTTAGCTTTCAGATAAACTGAAAATAAATTAGATTACCTTAAAAACTGTCTCTAGTGAATTTTATTGACAAATTTCGATACCGAAATTGTTTATCATTCATATTTGAAGAGAAGCTAATATGTATTTCTTTTTAAGTTCATGAGTTTCAGAGTGTTAGCAATGGCAATTTAGAAATATTGAGAATGTGGTTGACCTTCAATAAAATGTTAATGGGTTAATATCTGCAGTTTACTGACTGCATATCGAAGGATTTTTATAAATGAGGTTATTGAACGGACTTTAATTTCCTACCACACTATAGCTCGAAAGCTTAGTTACTGAATTTCCAAGCGCAGACCAACTTGCGATTAATTAGAGCAAAATTAAGGGCGTTCAGGAAGCACTATTTTAAATAAATGTTAAATGTAATGTTTCCTGCAACAAGTATGCTCAACATTATCTAATGAATGGCGTTTGACTAAACGCAGAGAATAGAATGCCGAAAAGACACTTGCTTATCCCTCACTGTAATCAAGTTAACAAGAAATTCTGTCCAATGAGCAATTAGTAAACCATATTGTGGTTATACGTAATAGGCAAGTATATAAGGACCTAAGAGCAATTGAATTTATGACTTAAACACAAGGCTCTATCTTAATGTTTAGAAAATTTTTTATATGGAAAGTTGATTTTCGGGCATCTTGATTGACAATATTTAGGCAAAATGAAGAGATATTCCTACATTTTTATTAAAAGAAAATTTAAGTTTTTTCGTAATTTTTATTTATGATATATATCTCGCTCGAATTTAAACCATTGGATTATTTAAAAAAAGTTACTTTATACGTACAATTTAGTTAGAGATATTTAGGATAGAGTAGTATTGGGTTTATTTTCATTTTAATTAAAAATATTCACTAATTTATAGTTATAAACAAAGGTTTAATTTTAAAACAGTCGATCACATTAGTACAAAGACTGGGTGATAATTTTTTTCAATTAGAAGTTGAATATGGTTTAGTGTGGGGGCAATTTCTAAATATTTTCAAATGATTTTTCATATTTGGCTTTAGTTAGGGCTCTTGTAACAGTTACGTATAATATTGCATTCTCTATTTTTCAAAAATCATCGTTGACTTAAATTATGAAGAGACTCAAAAATTTATTCTATTTTGAATGCTGTCCACTTCTAGAAAAAATCTTTAAAGCGATTTGGAAAAGTTTCACATTGCTCTGGAGCAATATCTAGGTTTATATAAATAATTAAAGTTTGATCTTACACTCTATGCTCATAGATTCCACGGGAAGAAGAAGTTAGTTTATAAGTTGTGTCATTTATAAGAATTTCTAAAAATAGCAGACCAATTGAGAAAAATACTATTTGCACCAAAACTCACCAACTGAAATGAAATGGCACCTGCAATTGTGGGAGTAAGTGATCTAAAAGCTGCCGTGGCAGATGCAGTCGACGTTTCCACTCCAAATTCATCGTCATCTACAAATTTAGTTGATTTTTTTGTTTTGACCCGAGGCCTTTGAGTTATTTCCGTAGCACTGTGAGGTCGTAGAGGCGAGGATTTGGGACGACAGTGATTATTAGGTGCCTTGAATTTACGTCTTTCCACTTTCGGGAGAATTTTTGCTGCCAGCGAGTCTTCTGCATCATCTGCTTCCATGGAATCAAAGAGAGACCTTCTATCACCCTCTGTCTGTGGAGTTCTTGGAAGCTGAAGTTTCATCGGTCGAATTGAAGGGAGGTGGATTGACTGATAGGATTTTGGAGTTTCATTGGTACTTGAGCCTCCTTTTATTTGTTTAAGAAATGAATTCAATAGGCTTATTCTAATTAAATAAGTTATAACAAAAGCTACGTTTAAAGAAGTGTCTAACAAACAAATTGGTGGATATTACTTTTTGATCAAAGAACCATTTTGTATTATTTCACAAGCATTTTGGAAAATTAAGCAAGTCATGTATTAAAAAATACGGGTATAAGATAAATCGGAAGTTTAGGAGTAGTGAATTCATCAATACAATTGGCTAGAATTTAGCAAATTGAAAAATATATATATGTTTTTTATAAAGAATAGTGAGACAGAGACTATTCTAAAGAAGACGAAATTCATTTTTCTGTTTTAATAACAGTATGGTAAATCGTTCTGGAATAATAGTATTCATAACGAAAGATCATAGCTAATATAAATCTAAAAATAGGATGCATTCCATTGAAATTAAGAAATGCTAAAAACATTCATTAAAGTATTAATTGAGATTTATTTTATTTAGCATCAAAAAATTTTAAAGTCATATCCTCATATCCCATGAACCACAAGGCTACCAAGCAAGCGGATAACTTTCTCGTAAAGGTAAAAATTAAGAATGTCACAGAAAAAAGGCAGTTGGGTTATTATATCTGAGGACAAGTCCCCATAGCTTTAAACAAACGTTCACCATCCGTCCACCTTAAAACTTAAGTCCACTTATCCGAATACTTCAAAATTGTCAAACGCCAGATGTGCCAAGAGATTCTAACGTAGTGAAAGAGGTATGGTCGCATTTAATTGCATTTTTTTTCAGGAGATTGGACTAAATCTATCTACCTAGAATGGAATATTAGGGAACATTTCTCAGCATATTTTCAAGGAAAATTATTAATTTCTGGGTAATAATGCAGTATATTAATATTCATTCACCCTATTTATGCTTATTTAAGAAGTTATTATATATATTCAGAAAAATAAGTACTCAAGATTGCAAATTATCTTTTGGGCAAGTTAAAGATAAAATAAATGGATTACCCTCAAAATGGGCCTATCCAAACTCTTAAAAGACGTTTATAAATTGCGAAAGTCTGCTAATAAAACAATGGCATTTATGGAGCACACAAATCAACAAAGCAACATCGTGCAAACTCGAACATTCTGAAATGTGCCGCCTTGATGGAGCTAATTCGAACTAAGTGATCACTGAGGATATGTCAAAACGGATGATTTTTTAAGTTTTCAATGGTTAACATTACAGTATGGCAATAAAAAATAAAATATGTCTAGGTAATACATCATATTTCAGGCAGAAAATTATTTAATCCTTTTCCTTGACGAACAGGTCGCCTAATTTCGTGGCTCTTTTCTTTTATTTCGCATCAATACTGAAACACATTTTAATTATCACGGGGTGTGCGATAGACTTACCTCCACGTGGTGCACCCTGGGCAACGTATACTCGTACGGCAAAAAGCCTATTAACCGGCAGTTGACTTCTGACTTCAAATTACCATCTCCCCACTGTATGCCATATTTGACTACTTTCACAGTACTCACCTTACCCTACTCTTTATCATTGTTTCTGTCCCTTTTACAACTAAAAATCACTCTTCGGTATCCCTCTTGAATTTTTCTCACTTTGTTGTTTCTCCCTTCTGTGAAGTTCGAAGTCAGTTAAAAGCTTATGATAACTATCAAATCGCCTGCCACTTGAAAAAAATAAATAAATAAATTATCACACGAGAAATTTAATATTGTACAAGGACCCTCACTTCATTATTAACTCTGCGTGTTTGAAGAAGGATTTCTAAAAAAAGCATTCATTTTGGTCTTCTCTTCCACCGTTTCTGCTATCTTGTGAGATTTTTAAGTTTTTTGGCATAGTGGGTTAAAAGTGACTTTAAATAATGTAATTAAATATACCAAAGAATTGTTGAATATATATTAACAAAAGCAATAACTTGGAATATGAGCCATTGAATTATTTTGCTCGATCTGCATAACAAATTAGCAATATCACATGAATATTCGAAAAGATGTTTCTTCTTGTTGCTGTGTTACCATAGCAACGCAAATGCATCGATAGGCCAACCATAGCCTGTTAACAACAATTTGATGGGGTAAAAAATGAAACAAAGAAAGCATTATTCAACATATCAAACTTTTCTCATTTTTAAATGCAAACCGGTTATTTAGTGATACGGGATAGTATCTTGATTAGATTTACCAAAGCCATGTACTACGCAACACAAATCCGTCGTATTTATATATTTGCGCATTTGAATGTGCCGCTGTGATAAATGCAGTCAGGTGACAAGTGAATTTGGAATCAACCAAATTTATTCGAAATTTCAGTAGTAGACTTAGCCAAACTTTATGGACTATTTTCGGAGCCATTTAAGAAATCATAAGTGAAGCAAGCCTAATGTTGTATTTCATTGACTTTGCTAAGTCCGTTTGTTTGAATTCATGTGAAAAATGTATTTTCTGTAAGCTTAGAGATAAATGCAAGCATTCGGAAAATGCACTGGAATAATTCAAACCTTAAATCATACATTCTGGGCAAATTTGAATTTTAATTGGAAATAAATTAAACAAGGACTATTGCTTGATAAATTTAGGACAGACAAAATGTGAGAACAAGTGCATTTTAACATACTAAGTGTCTATAGGAAGATCATACTCATGATAATTAATTTACTTTAGTGTAAGTATGTTAAAGTAGCGTATTTTTATAATATACGCTCAATAGGTATTCCTTTAAAGTTGGCTTCTAAATTTATCTAAACAAAGCGGTAAATTTAAGTAAAAAATTCTTATAATGTGTGAATTCACTTCTGTATTAAACTTGAAACAACTGCATCGTAACTTTGACACAATGCATAAGAACTTTAAGTCACAAACGTTAAAATTTGCTTGACAGAAAGCTAAATAGCCAAAGCACTAATAAGTCGATAAGATGTATACTTTCAAAATGTAAAATAGTTGATTTATGTGAAGGCTAAGGTTAATCAAATTTCAAATAAGCTGATTACATTAACAAATACTCCTATTAATTTAAAATAAATAAATTGTGTAAGATTTTGATTTAAAAATGTAAGGAAATGTGAGAAATATACCAAATCAATGCCATTGGAATAAAAGATGGACCGTTTTAGCATTTTAAACAAAACATTTAGAGATGCATGACTATTTCCGTTTTCTTATTAAAAGCAGGAATTGGACATTGAAATACTTCAGTCAAACTGTTTTGACACTCATTATGACCCCATTTGAGGGGTGTACGATAGACTTACCTCCACGTGGTACACCCTGGCAACGTATACTCATACGGCAAAAAAGTCTATTAACTGGCAGTTGACTTCTGACTTCCAACTGCCAAGACCCCACTGTATGTCACATTCAACCGCTTCAACAGTACTCATCATACCTTTCCTCTGCCTTCGCGACTGCCTGTCTCTTTTACATCTGTGAATCATTATTCTGCCCCCCTTCCGACCTTTTGTCAATTTGATGTTCCTCCTCCTCCTCTCTGTGAAATCCAAAGTCAGCTAAAGGGCTAATTATAACTATCAAAACGCATGCCATTTGAAATAAATAAATAATCCCAGTTGAAATGAAATTAATTACCAGTACACAAATTATGTTTAATTTTTTGCGAAATAATGTGCTTTATTAGCCACAATTGAAGCTAAAAATGAACAGAAAATCATATCAAGATTAGATCATGTTTATTTAAATTCGAAAAACATGCATATATCTATACATGACCATTTCGATTGCAATTAAATTAGCCAAATGAATTAATTGCTCAAGAGGAGTGATAAAGTTCCAAATTATTGGATTCTTGAAATTTTATTAATATATTCCAATGATATTTAAACAATAAATCAAATGAGATATTTTTGAAGTTGAAAAACATTTGATAAGGCATTAGAATTGGCACTCAGCTTTTGATCGGAGCATTTACGGAGCACACCCATTAAACCGACTAAACGGATACGTTAAGATATACTCACAACTGCTCAAGAAAGCAGACACTACCTTATAGGGGGCTTAATAAGAGCAATTTGTTTTCTCTTTTTGCAATAAAAATTATTTTGCCAGCTAATTAATCATAGTTAGAAAATGAATAACGAGTGCCCAAAATATGGTTCAAACGATTCGAATAAATGCACTGACGTATGCTTGTGATAAGTAGCATCAGAAACGTCGAATGTAGGAAGGTATTAAAACACCTTTGAGAGTTCCGTATCCTAAGTCTTAATACCTTTTATAAAATTTAATAAAACCTGGTTTGAGTGATTTGAGCACCGTTGATGAACTATGACCCTGAAGGGAAAAAATGCTTAGCGATCTGTTTTAATCTGCCCAAGAAACTTTTGTCAATTTAATTCCCGATATTTTCACTCTGACGAACTGGTCCTATTTTAGAAAAGTTGTTATTTCCCGAGGTATAGAGCATTTCTGCTACTTGACTTTATCTTTACGAAAGTCTTCTTTGTTATCTTCAATTATTATCTTTCAGGAAGCAATCGTTCATTAGGAATAAATGCTTCAATATCTCTTAGTTATGATTAATAACCCGTAAGCTTATTAAATCGTCACAGTTTGAAAATAATAACTAGACTTTTCTGAAATCAAAAAAAACAATGAACACGAAGAAAGCCAATATTTTTATCTTGTACGTACAATTTATTTATCTCCCATACAAAGGTGTCGTTTTAATTTAAAATTTAGACCTTCTATGTCATTGGTGTAATGATCAAATCGTAGATAGTCATCATCATTAATGTCATATATTCACAATTGTACAAAAAAGGAAGGCATTAAAAATATTCTCACCGAATACAGGAGGAGCAGATCCTAATTTATTGGTGCTGAGGTTAGTTGCTCGAAATGGTGAGTCTAGCAAATCTGGATTGCCAACTTCAAAAGCCTGAGGCCCGTCGTAAGCTGCAAAGAAATGGAAAATG